TCATCATCATCATTATGTCCAGAGGAGGGTGACCAAAATGGCCAAAGGTCTGGAAACCAAGCCCTATAAGGAATGACTTGGGGCACTGGGTATCTTCATTTTGGCGAAGGTGAGATTAAGAGATAATAGGACAGTCCTCTTTAAATATCTGATGAAATAATATGTAGAGAGATGGAGCAAGCTTGTTTTCTGCTGCTCCAGCTCACCTCTCATGATATCCAGCAAAACCGAAAAAAGAAGGGTGAAAGAATAAACTCTATAATATGTATAATCTGGACATCTACTACTAAGCTTTACAAGTTATACAAAATAACCACCGATCAAACAAAAATAAAAAGTTTACAAGCATTAATGAAACACTTCTATATACTTCTTCACATATTTTAAGTCCTGAATATTGCTACGTTATTGGATTTGGGAAAATAATTATTGCAGGACTTAGTGTGGTGCAGTGGTTTGAGGGTTAGACTATGAATCTGGAGACCAGGGTTCAAATCTCTGCTTGAGCATAAAAATCCACTGGGTGACCTTGGGTATGTCACATTCTCTCAGCCTCAGAGGATGGCAATGACACACACACACACACACGAAGAATCTTGCCAAGAAAACCCCATGATAGGTTTGCCTTAAGGTAGCCATAATTCAAAAATGACTCGGAGGCACACAACAACAACAACAAAGGATGTATAATTTATGAACTCCTAAGCAAACATGCCTAGGCCTGCATTAGTGCTTCTGCAAGACTCTTAAGTAGTTTTAGAAAATCTTCCAGGAACCAAGAATGGAAAGAAACAAACTGAACTGTCCCAGGAAAAGAACCAAATGCTTTGGTCCTTCTGGGGAAGCAAATGCATGCTTATCAAATTTGCAGAAGACACCAATTTAGGAGGAGTAGCTACCGTAATACCCCAGAGGATCAAAATTCAAAATCAACTTGAAAGCTGGGCCAAAGATGGTAAAATGAATTTCAACAGGAAGAAATGTAAGGTACTACACTTAGGCAGAAAAAATGAAATGCAAAAATATAGGATGGGGACACCTGGCTTAACAAGACTACACATGAAAGGGATCTAGGAGTCCTAGTAGACCACAAGTTGAACATGAGTCAACAGTGTGATGCTGCAGCTAGAAAGGCCAATGCAATTTTAGGCTGCATCAATAGAAGTATAGTATCTAGATCATGTAATAATGACACTCTATTCTGCTTTGGTCAAGCCTCACCTGGAATAATCCTGTGTTCAGTTCTGGCCACCACAATTCAAAAAGGATGTGGACAAGCTGGAAAGTGTCCAAAGGAGGGCAACCAAAAATGGTGAAGGGTCTGGAAACCATAAAGCCCTATAAAGGGAGACTTAGGGAGCTGGGTAGGTTTAGCCTGGAGAAGAGGTTAAGGGGTGACAGGATAGCCCTGTTTAAATATTTGAAGGGATGTCGTATCGAGGAGGGAACAAGCTTGTTTTCTGCTACTCCAGAGAATTAGACCCAGAGCAATGGATTCAAACTCCAGGACAAGAAATTCCACCTAAACATTAGGAAGAAGTTCCTGACAGTAAAAGCTGTTCGAGTGGAAGACACTCTTTCGGAGGGTGGTGGTTTCTCCCTCTTTGGAGGTCTTTAAACAGAGGATTGATGGCCCATCTTTTGGGGGTGCTTTGATTGTGAGTTCCTGCATGGCAGAATGGGGTTGGACTGGATGGCCTTTGAGGTCTCTTCCAACTCTAGGATTCTATGCAGGACGGAAGGGCCAACACAGCTTCATAAGACATCTGGGTTGTGTGTGTGATTTGCTGGAATGTTTATACAACTACTGTACAAAATTACAACCTCCCAGTTATAATTATTGCACGCCACAGCCCTGTTTCTTAAACAGGTTGCCTTCTGGGCATTTGCGGCGATGCTTGAATTTATTACTCAGACGAACACATGTACTAACCATGGAGGTTCTGAGCCTGGAAGGAGCATCACAACTGTATTGTCACAATCCTGTTGCCAAGGTTAAAAAAGGAACATCGTACTTTTAAAATTCTCCAGCCTCCATCTGTCCAGAGTGCAAAGATCAGGAATAAATTCTGTATTTAATGCCAAATTTGTTGCTTTCATGTGCCTTCGAGTCGTTTCCGACTTATGGAGACCCTAAGGTGAACCTATCATGGGGTTTTCTTGGCAAGTTTCTTCAGAGGGGGTTTGCCATGGCCATCCTGTGAGGCTGAGAGAGTGTGACTTACCCAAGGTGGGTTTCCATGGACGAGCCAGGTCTCCAGAGTCCTAGTCCAAAATGCTTATACCACGATGCCACGCTGGCTCTCAAATAGAGAGAAACTATTGGGCTTATTTCTATCCTCCGCTTTATTCGCTCAATTTTTACATTTAAATGGTAAGCTCCTTGGGGCAGGGGCTTTTCCCCCTTTATTGTTGTGTTTTATATACTGTTCAGGGAAGCGTTCGCAGGCACTGTATGATGATTATTTGACGCTTTTAATGTGTTGCCTTCTTTGTATTAATATGTATTATTTTATTATTTTGTGGAATGTACGCCATCGGCAGGCTTTTTTATCTATTTTATTGACTGTATGTTCAGCGCTGTGCAAATCTACAGTGCTATATAAATAAACTGTAATAATAATAATAATATCGACGAAACCAAAACCAACACTAATTTGGGAATAAAGTGGGAATCTCAGTTCTTGTGCAAGAATCCGCAGCACGTAATTCTTGGGTGGGAAGACATAGGCATTGTGAGAGTTAAACTGGATTAGGTCTTGCAATGCAGACTTACCCTACATTTCTTTGTACGCAGCTGGATTTAAGATTAAGACCTCTCTCCAATAAACAGCTTGAGGCCACCAAAGTCTTGCTCTTTCTGCGTGAAGCTGGATGAAAAGTTACCCCAACAGTACCCAAGGATATAATGCTAATTTCCACATTGAAAATTAGGAATACGGAGGGCAGGACAATTACAGAGAACCAGAGATGTCTGAGGAGCACCAAAACCCATCTACTCCTACCCCAGGCACATGGGCATGCCAACCCTCTTCTATCGGCCTCCGCTGGCCACATCTGGTGCATCTACACCAGGGGTAGGCAACCCTTCCCCTTTAAGGGCCGAGGGACTTCAGCTCCCAGAATCCCAGCAGCTATTGGCCAACATGGGACTATTGGCCAACATGGCTGAGGCTTCTGGGAGCTGAAGTCCCTCGGCCCTTAAAGGGGAAAGGTTGCCTACCCCTGATCTACACCATAGAATTAATGCAGTTTGACACCACTTTTACTGCCACGACTCAGTGTTATAGAATGCTGGGATCTGGACTTTTGTGAGATACTTAGCTATGGCATCATGACAAACTACATATCCCAAATGTCCATAGGATGGAGGCATGACAGTTAAAGTGGTGTCAAGCTGTATTAATTCTGCAGTGGGGCAGCAGCCAGGCAGCCGTAGAATCACACCCTTTTCCATCAGATAAACCAACACAGAAGTCACCCCGGTTCCAAGTTTAGCATCACTTCTGTAGACTAGGATTACTACTCTCATAAAGAGGCATGCCTTAAAACAGAGGAGGAAAGGGAAGTTCTTACTACTCTTAAGGCATCACAATCCTATGTATGTCCTCCCAAAAGTGAACTCCGCTGAGATCAATGGAACCAGAAAAAGTCACAGAATCATAGGGTTGGAAGAGACCATAAGGACCATGCAGGAACTCACAATCAAAGCACCCCTGACAGATGGGCATCCAG